GAATCTGTGGCCTCGCTCAGTCCCATCCCCTTCCTGGGCCTGGGTTTCTACACCTGGGCTGGTCTTCAAGGCCCTGATGTTCTGATGTTGCAAGCCAGCGAGGGCCCTGGCCTCTGAGAGATGGAGAGAGGCGCGAGATAGGTGCCAGGATTCCGTGAGGACTTGGCCGGCTTGTATGTGGGCAATGGTGTCCTTTGAGCTTCCTGGCTGTGGGGCCTAGGAAGTAGAGCAGCTGGCAGGTGGGGACAAGGGAGGAGGGCAGGCTGGAGGAGAAGGGAGGGTGCAGGCGGGGGGCAAAAGGCCATTGGCTACCGTTGTGGGTTTCCGTGGCAACTTTTTTTCCCCCCCCTGAAAAATGAACTGGCCAGGGACCCCTCTGGGTTTCAGAGACTCCTGTGAGGGTTGGGGTCAGATCAGAGGGGGTGGTGCAGACTGGACAGGCCCCGGGGCAGGATGAGGAGAGGCCAGGGAGCGGGGGCAGTGGGTGCCGGCTGATCCTGCTGGGGCCGGGTCCCGAGGTGCTCCCCATCCCGTGGGCTGTGCACCCCTGCTCACTCTTACTTTGCCTTGTGTTTTCTGCAGATCATGATCGAGTTCTGTCCTGGGGGAGCTGTGGATGCCATCATGCTGGGTGAGTGTCCCTTGACCCGGTGCAGTGGTGCTGGGGTGGGCTTGAGGGCTCTAGTCCAGGACTGGTGTTCCGCACTCCCCTGCCCCAGCAGTTCATGTGGTCTGTTTGAGTACTTTTATGCTCTGTCCCCTTTTGGGAATGGGGTTGGGTTCTTGGAGGGAATGCAGGGTGCTCATTAGAAAGCCAACACTTCCTATTCAAAAAGCCATGTGTCCTTGAGCTGGTCACTCATCCCCTCCAGCCTTGTTGGCCGTAAGATGGGTGAGACCTTCTTTGCCTCACCCCACAGCACCCTGAGGAGGTGAAAATGAGACCCCTAAGGGAGATTCTTTGAAGAGTGGGAATTCTGGGGCACCTGGGTGGCTCAGTCTGGTAAGCCTCCGACTTCGGCTCAGGTCATGATCTCGCGGTTCGTGGGTTCGAGTCCCACGTCGGGCTCTTTGCTGACAGCTCGGAGCCTGAAGCCTGCTGCGGATTCTGTGTCTCCCTCTCTCTCTGCCCCTCCCCCGCTTGTGCGCGCGCTCGCGCTCTCTCTCTCTCTCTCTCTCTCTCTCTCTCTCTCTCAAAGATAAATAAACATTAAAAAAATTTTTACAGAGGGGCACCTGGGTAGCTCAGTCCGTTGCACATCTGACTTCCTGACCAGATTGACACTTAGAGGGGTTAAGGAGCTGTCCCAGAGTCCCACAGCAGGGCTGAGACAGGAGCCTGGCTCTTGCTGGCTTGGTGGGCAGTGAGTGAGGAGAGGCTGAGGGTCTGGGGCCCCAGAGCATTGATAGGCAGGCCTAGGATTTTGCGGTGGCTCAGGAGAGGGGAGGTTTTCAGTACAATGTAGCACTATTCAGCCACTCTCTTACTATGAGGAAGGTATTTCCCCCCTGAGTTTATCTCAGGAATGTTGAATTTGTGGCGGCCCTTTCTGGAAATACAGAAATGCTGGCCTTCCTTGCAGAGCCCCTTACCACACTCCCAGAGTTGTCAGATGGGTAAATGATGGATGTGAGTATGTATGATGCGGACTTCGGGTGTTCCTTCTCTCAGCAGAGACTGCCTTTGAAGATTTTCATCATTCTGGGTAGAATTTAACAAAATAAAAATGGTGGTCTTGTAGGAGTTGAGACTCTCTAGGTTATAAGGCGATCAGAGGACTCTTTAAATTGGTTTAGGGGGAAAAAAGGTGGGAGATATGGGAGGGAGAATTTATTGGCACAAATAACTAAAAAGTTCAAGCATGGCCAGCTTTAGGCACAGCTTGATCTAGGAGTTTTTGTTTTGTTTTGTTTTGTTTTCAAGTTCTCATAAAAACATGGTTTCCTACTCCAACTCTTGGCCCCACTTTATTCTGTGTTGGTCCCATTCTCATACTGGCTTTCTGTTTATGGTGACAAGGTGGCTGTAGGAGCTCCAGCAATCATATCTGTATTCCGAACAGCAAGATAGAAGAAGGGAGGATAGGACAACTCCACAAACACACTTTCCACTTTTTTAAGGAGACATTACAGAAGCCCCATATGATACCTCCATTTACATCTCATTGGCCAGAACATAATAGCACACAGCTAGAAGGGAGGCTGGGAAATGTGGTCTTCTAACTGGTGGCCATGTGTTCAGATACTCACAAAGAAGGGGGGGAATGGGAGCCATCTACCAGCTCCTGCTACTCCAGGTATGCAGCTTAGCTCATGTGGGGGGAGAATGTCAGAGATGGAAAAGACATTTACACATACCTTGCACTTACTGGGTCCTTGACCTCATTCATAGCTGGGGCAGGACCCCAGGCTGTGGCTTAGCCTGCAGGCAGACTCACTCTCTGGCTGCTCTCTCAGTTCTCCTGCTCCAGTCCCAGGTGGTTTTCTTCTTGGTGGAGGCAGCAGTTAAAGGAGCATTGCCATTGCCATTGCCATCGGCATCCCAAGTGGGTTTTGTTTTTGTTTTTGTTTTTGAGAGAGTGAGCAGGGGAGGGGCAGAAGGAGAGGGAAAGAGAGAATCTTTTTTTGTTTGTTTTTAATGTTTGTTTATTTTTGAGAGAGAGTGAGACAGTGCGAGTTGGGGAGGGGCAGAGAGAGAGGGAGATACTGAATCCAAAGCAGGCTCCAGGCTCTGAGCTGTCAGCACAGAGCTGAACGTGGGACTCAAACTCATGAACCGTGAGATCGTGACCTGAGTCGAAGTTGGATGCTCAATGACTGAGCCACCCAGGCGCCCCTAATGTTTGTTTATTTTTGAGAGAGAGAGGGAGAATTAGAGACAGCATGTGTGTGGGAGGGGCAGAGAGAGAGGGAGGGAGAGAATCCCAAGCAGGCTTTGCGTTAATAGCAGAGAACCCAACGTGGGGCTCAAACCCGTGAATTGTGAGATCGTGACCTAAGCCAAAGTCAGATGCTGAACCGACTGAGTCACCCAGGCGCCTCACCATCAGCATTCTAGAAATTAGGGTGAGAGAAGAGAAGGTGGGATGGGGAGAGCTGACCAGGTGAGAACTGGTTGCAGCTGTGTGACGAGGGGTGGGCTCTCCCACAGACGCTGACCCTGCTTAGAGGCACTTTCTGTCCTCGGCATCTCCCCATCGCCCTGCAGAGTTGCATAGAGTGACGAGCCTGGACTTGGGGTCCAAGGGACCTGAGGTCTGTTTCTAGGTTCCTCTGTGGGATAGCTGTGGGGTGCTGGGCTGGCCCCTTTGCGAGATGGGGGGAATATGCAGAGCGTGTCACTGTATGGCCAGGCTGGTTACTTAACACCCAGTGTTTGCTCTGATCCAGTTGGCCTTGCCTTGCCGGCTCTTCAACGTTTGGCTCTCAGCCCTCCTGCGGAGGAGAGGGGGTGGAGTGGGACTAGCTGTGGTTTCAAACAGACGTAGGACTCATCTGCAGTGTTGCAGATTTTTTTAATCTGAAGAAAATATTCATGTATTGCTGTGTAATCAAAAATTAATCTCAAGAATTTATCATACTGTATGATTCCAATTATATGACGTTCTAAAAAAGGCAAGACTGGGGACAGAAATCAAACTAATGATTTCTCCAGCTCATGGGCTGGAGACGTGGGGCTGAAATGTTGATCACACACGGGTTCGGGGGAGTGATCGAAACATTCTGCATCTAATTCGTGGTGGTGGTCACGTGACTATATACGTTTGCCAAAACTCATAGAATTGTACACCTAAACAAAAATGAATTTTACTGTTGATAAATTTTATCTACATAAGGCATATCTACCTGGTTGGGTCATTGTGAAGATTAACTGAAAGAATGCATCCAAGTCCCTAACACTGGGCCTCATATGTTGGTAAAACCTCAGAAAATGATGACCGTGAGATCTCCACCATCATCAACATCATCATCATCATCATCATCATCATCATCATCTTTGCTTATTCTGATTTCATTTATGTAAATAAATCAGGCACAAGAGGTCATAGTTTGACCTTTAAAAAAAATGGCCACAGATAATCCAGCATAATCTCAGGACCAGCCTAACAGTAATCGCCTTTTATTGGCCGTCCTTTGTGCTGAGAAGTGAACGTGCTTTATCGCTGGGGCCCTGCCTACGTCCATTCCCATCATCTCATTTTACAGATTGGGAGATGAAGGCACAGACGGATGGAGCGCCTTTGAGAAACCACATAGCTAGCAAGGGGCAGCACCTGGGTTCAGGCTCAGTCTGCGTGGTCCTGGTGTTCCCCAGGCTCTAACCTTGTCCGTGGATGGCAGGACATGGGAGTTAAGGCTGAGGCCACAGGGAGGGATCGTGGTTGTGGATCCCAGAGAAGGACCCCTGGTCTGGGGCCAGGCTTCCCAGGGTATTGCTGCTGGCTCTGGCATGTGTTTTTGTTTTTGTTTTTGTTTTACCAAGCCTGTGGGATCTGTCCTTCAGGATTTCTGGCCAGGCGCGGCCAGGGAAAACAGATGGGAGAGGACTGCCCTGATTGGAGGGAGGCCTGGAAGCAGTGCCCTGGCCGGCCAGCCCTGGAACCTGCAGCCGGAGGACCCAGCAGGCAGGGCGGTGGGAGCTCCCTGCAGCACAGGTGGCCTGGTGGCAACAAGAACTAAATAATCCCGCTAGCCAGTGGGGCAGTGAGCACAGGACGTTGACCTTGAATCTTCTCACGCCCTTCCCCCC